GAGCTCTATTTCTACTCATTTCTTTTCCAAAAACTTTGGCTTCAAAACCTGCTCCCTGGTTTGCAAATCTACACATCTACTGTTTGCTTTAAAGCTTAAGTCCCTGAAAACACGTCAGAAATCTCGGGCTTCTCATTAGAAAGATGTCATCACTCACACGATAAAAATAATCAAGAATTTCTAGACCTTCGAAACCGCTTTGAAAGTGAGCAGTGAGGGCAGCTCACCCTCTATCTACTGATGTGAAAACCCAAGACGAAAGCACCGAACTTCCTGTAAGCACTCAGCTACCAAATCCCATCTCCTGGTTTTTCAAACCAGGATAGACACATACACTATCTCAGCTGGATTTTTCTAAAGCCGCTCTTTTGTGGGTTTTTTGTTTTGTTCGTTTTGGCTTTTTGGTTGCTGTTTTTGTTTTTTACGTACAAAGTCACAGCTGGGTCTTCTGACTGTTAGCTGTTTTAATGAATGATCCATATCAAATTTCTAAGACCCCCGAATTATTACATAATGCAGCTAGCTCTTTCACGCTCCATCTTGATATAAGAGCAGAGGGCAGTTCTGAATTTGTGTGCTTGTAGCACAAGTCTTCCAGATATCTCCTCTGCTAAATCACCCCGTGTCATCACAGGGCGCTCGATGTGAATTCGCACAGGCCAACTGGGCTGGGCCAAGTCTCCTGGCTGTGTGGAGCTTTATATGTGCTTAGAATATGGGCTTGTGGAAACAGCCAGCATCAGGAGGTCTGGATCGTGGTCCCTCCCGGTCATCTACTTGCCTATGCGACCTTGAACTTGCTCCTTGCTTCTCCAATATCCTTCATGCACATTAAATAAGATAAAGCAGAGGCGTATAGGAAAGCTCCCGAGCACTCCACGAACACAAAAGAATACTGCTGTTATTAACAAGCTACCAGTGTTAACCCTAAGCTCAGCCACAGTGCTGACAAACCAAGATTTCTGCATTCAGTCTTTTTTTTTTTTTTTTTACTTTATCTCGAAGAAGTTAACTCTCTTTCCATTCGCCACCCTCCTGACAAGTGACATCAACACCCTCATCTGGGAATTATTGTCTTTTCCTTTTCTCCTCCTGATGCCAGGGTTGCTGTTGACAATATGTATTCAGGCAAGGCAGGGACTCATCGCGTTTCACAATCAGATGCCATGCACACTACTTCCGTCAAAACAATTAGTGTTCATTTCGCCTATACTCCGGGAGACCTGCGGTGACTGATCAGTATAAATTATGGATGCATCTGTCCAGATGCACTTGTTCATTCATGCATAGATTTGAGGAAATTTCCCTCTTCTCAGTTCAAAAACAGTCACTGAAACAAACCTATACTTAAAAATATAACTTAGCACACTTTCACCTTTGTGTTATGGCCTTGTACTCACTCATTCCATCTGTGATTACAGACATTGACATTGATCTGGGAGTGTTTCTAGGTTCGTTATTTTCTCCCCTGTAAACTCTGTTGTCTTTAAAAACCATTAGGAAATCATAGATGTTTGTAACCCAAAATCATGCAGTAGGATTTGCTTTTTTTCTTTTTTGGAGGCACTTGGCGTTGAAGCTTATTGTCAAACACTCATATGCTCTGCTCTGCCTCTCAGGAACTTCAGTGCCTTTAAAGCAAAGCAACCAAACTTCGAATAAACCACGTGGATGAGTACGTCCTCCGTTCCAAATAGGTCTTTGTTTACTTTGTGCCATATGCGTTTTAATGAGCAACTACAAAAACTATCAGAAGGTTACCCAGTACAGCAAAAGAGTCAATATCCCCGGTTCAGGGAAAAAAAAATGTTAGATGAAATGGCTCCCTTAAACATAACTGGGAGGTCTGTATTTGATAGGTTTATTTACTTGCTTTAATAAAATTCTGTGTGTACACATATTCAATTGGGGATTTTTTTTTCTGAAATGAAATTAATCAGTGCTGAACAAAGCAGTGGAAAGCCACAGTGGCAGAGGAGCCCAGAGCACAGGGCTGTGGGAAGCAGAGGGTATGAAAGCTCCCCAGCCGCAGCAGTGTCAGACTTCCCAGGAAACAGCCTTCTTTGCACCTGAGGTTTCCGTCACACAGAGGCACGCATGGGCTTAACCCACACTGGCTTTGTTCGGCCGTGAGAGCTCCCACAATAAGGAGAAGAGTGGGTGCGTGTCCGCCACCACGTGCAGGGACCACCCCCACCCCGCACGCTCCGGGAGGTAACAGTGAAGTGTCTGCAACACAGGGTTGCCACAAAGGTTCCGTCGAGGTCTCCCAAGGCTGCAATCCCAGGGGACGACTTGGCAAGCAGCCCTTCCTGGGAGACAATGGGATGGCCGCCCCCTACACCGTAAGACAACTGTAAAGACAATAGGGCAGCCTCAAAGGAAAATATCTCTTCTGTTCTTCTTTCCTATCCCCCGATTTGCCTCACCACTGTTTTCTGTTCCCATTTTCTCTGCAAACCTCTTATTGCTTTCCTGTAATCCTAGAGAGTAAAGACAGGGGGCCGCCCTGGAGTCCCTGCACAGTGCATTGATACCAGAGGTCTTATAAATCAGCTAGAAATCAATACATACTATATGGGAGTTTCTCTTTTGCAACCATATCACCCAGGGAAAGGCTAATGCTTTTTCTCCACCACCTTCCACATTTTTCCATCATTAAAAAAAAAAAAATCTGCTTAGGAACGAATGGGCAATGTTGCTGAGTAAGTATTTCGACTACCTAATTTTATTACTTTACAATTGACATACCTTCCCTCTGGAAATGTTTGCAATTAATTAATTAGCAGTAATCTTCCCCAAGAGACTCATTTAATGAATACTCTCCGATTCTTACTTTTAAAAAAAAATGGCTTAGATGTATCCAAGCCGCAAATGGGTGAATGACTGCAAAGTGCGTTTTGAAAAATCAGGAGATCTATTACTGTGAATTTTATCACCAAGTCAATCTGGCCGCGACCATAATTCTTCTTCTAACGACAAGTTTCCCAGGCTGGGCACAAGGTTTCTCCAAGGTAACAGCAGGTGCCGCCGGGTTTGTCCACATGTAGAATAATCTCTTCGGTGAGAAGTCTGCTGCTTGTGGCTTCCTGAAGCTACCCTGTGCGTTCTGCAGAATCTGTGCAGGAGATGAAGAAGGGGCTGGCGGCGGGGAGGGGCACAGCGGTCATTCTAAAGAGGTCACTGTCTTCAGGGCCTACCAGTCCCCTCTGCAGGGTACCGGAGGCAAATTCCCCAGAGCCCAGACCCCGCCCCCGGCGCTGCGCTCTCGCGTTCTCTGGACCACACTGTCTCGGGGTTCAAGCAGCGTCGCAGGGAGGGACTGCGAGAGCCGTTTAAGTGGTGCCGAGAGAGCAGGAGGCCCGAGAGTGAAAGGCGAGGCTCTCTGAGGCTCCCGGCCTGCAGGCTGCACCAGATCCTGCCGGCCCCAGTATGGCAGGCCCGTTTTGTCCCCAGACGTCTCGAGCTAGTTGGTCCTCAGACAGGCGGCTCCCGGAGCCTGGCGATTGAAGTTTTCAGACGTGAGGCCCCTGTCCCCTCGGGCAAGCCTAGAGGACGCACCCCTCCCGGTGCCATCAAGCCCCCCACCCCCACCCCCACCCCTCACCAGTGTTCCTCTGAGGGCCTCCGGGCCGCCGAGGGGTGGCGGTCGGACCGCTGGGCCCAGGCGGTGCGCAGGGAATGGGCAGGCCGCCCCTCTCGGAGCCTCCACCGCGGCTCGCCAGCGCCACCCCCAGCGGAGCGCAGCGGCTGCAGCCCTGCCCCGGCGCCACGCTCTGGCTCCCCAGCTCCCCGCGACACCGCGGACGGAGCGCGTGACGCAGCCACGCCTCGACTCGGGAAGACAGGCCCAGGGGTCGTGAGTGCGCGGGCTGCAGCTGGGAGGCAGGGGTCAAACCCGGCACGCTTTCAGGCGGCATCCGAGGGGTCCACGACCTCGGCCTCGAGGGGGCGCTACTCGCCCTAGCCGAGGCGCGCCCCGAGCGGCCCCCAGGGTCGGGGTCCTGGCCTGGGAGAGGGCTCGGCGAGCCGGAATCTAGGGCTGAGGCAGGAGGCCAAAGATGGGCGGGCCAATGGGATCCGACGCTGCCCGGAGCTGCTCCCACGAGCCCGGGCCTGGGGCGCGAACAAACTTTCCTGCAGCGGTGGGGCGGAGGAGCGGGGCCTCACGGAGGCTTCTCCCCGGAGCCTCCGCTCTCCACCTGCCGGCGCTCAGCCTCCGCCCAGCCTTCGTCCCCTCCCCCGCGCCCGCCCCCTCCCCCGCGCGCCTCGGTGCGCTCAGGCTCCTCATCCCTCTCCTCTCCCCTCCTTCTCGAGCCTTTCTCCCCCACTTTTCTCCGGTCTCTTCTTTTGTATTCTCTCCTCCCTCGCCGCCCGGATGCCTCTCGGCTCCTCGGGGCCGCAGGGGAGGAGGTGAGCGCGCTGCGCCGGGGGCCTGCGCGGCGCGGCGGGAGGCGTTACTCCTACTTCTCCCGGGTAATTTGGAGAGATTGTGTGTGTGTGTGCGTGCGCGCGCGCGCGCAGGAGCTGGAGGCGAAAAGGGGTAGGATCCAACGCCTAGCAGAGAGGGTCAGGGTCTTTGACGCTCCTCGCCAGCTGCACAAACCTCCCGGAGCCAAGTGTGAGTGCGGGGGAGAGAGCGCGCGCGCGCGTGCACCCGGGCTGGCTGCGCTGGGCACGCCCGGTGGCCCGGGGCCCCGGGGTCCAGGGTCCTGTCTGGCGGCCCGGGATTACCGTGACGTCACATTGAGCCTCTGGCCACCTTGCACTGGGACACCTGGGGAGCCTCACAGCCCCGCGCCGCGCCTCACCTCGCCACCGCGTGTCTTTTGGGAACTCGCACCTTCTTCCTTCCCCTGCCCATCCATGGGCCCTTCTATCTTCTGGACCCCACGGGCCGGCAGGGCGCCTTCCGGAGCCCAGGGCTCGGCACCCGGGCTGCCCTCGGCTCTGCCTCCAGTCGGGCCAAGCGGGCAGAGGACCCGGCGCTGGGCACCCGCAGCCGAGTAAGGAACGGAGGCTCCGCACGGCTAGGGTCGCCGAACCTCGAGGCTGAGGCGGGAACTCGGCAAGGGAAGAGGAAGTCAGCTCGGGGACAGCCACGATGTCCTTCCCCCACTTCGGACACCCGTACAGTGGCGCTTCCCAGGTAAGAAGCGCCTCCGTGGGGGTCGCGGACAGACGGGGTGGAGGGGTTGCGCAGTGCACTGAGAGCCCTCTTCCCGGGTCCCGGGGAAAGCCAGCGGGGCCACCACCGGGGTCACGGACCGCAGCCCCCTCAGCCGTCCCCGACCCCCGACTGAGGACTTGAGGCCCGCAGCAGGGCACTGCCCACGCTCTCGGCGTGCTGGGTGGGATCTTGGGGCGCCTCCGTCAGGCCGCTTCCCTGTGCGGCTGACCCAGGCGGCGGGACAGCCTCGGGAAGACGCCCGGGCGCCGGCGCCGGTGTTCGTGGTGGTGGTGGTGTGCTGACCTCCGTTCTCATCCTACCCTCCCTTGGGCGGCTCCAATCTCTCTGCCTCTGCTTCCCCCAAACTAGGGTGGGCGTTGTGCCAGGACAGGGGTTTCCTGGGGAGCAATTCTGAGCACACCCACCGCGTCTCCAGGCTCTGGACAGAGGCGCCAGGCACATTTCCTAGGGTTTAGGGCCAGCTCGACCTTTGACCCGCTGTGTGCCTTTGGACAAGTCTCAAGACTTCCCGAGTCCTGAATTTCCTGTCTATAAAACGAGAGTAGCGATGAGACCTGGGTGATGGGGGCGGGGGCGGGGGCGGAGGCTGTGGTTTCTTTAGCAGCGGTTTCAGACGGTCGCGTTTCGCAACACCTGGAGCCCGGCGTCAGCACTTCTATAGGGGTAGTGTGGATCAATTGCCTTCGGAGCATTCTCGCCCCAGCACGTCGCAGAGTGGCCAGCACGCAGTGGCATTGGTGTAGCATGAAGGCGCGAATGAAGGCGCGATTCGGCCGTACCCTCCGCCCCTCCGGCACCTGCCCGGCCAAGGCGCAGCCTCTGACCTCCAGTGCCCCCTCTCTCCTCCTTGTAGTTTCTCGTGTCTGCAAGTTCCAGCGCCACTTGCTGCGAATCCGCTCCGCGCTCGGTGTCAGAGGTGGCCTCAGGCTCCACCCCGGCACCCGCTCTCTGCTGCGCACCCTATGACAATCCGCTGCTGGGCAGCGCGCGGCCGGAGCTAGGCGCTGCCTTGGGTATCTACGGAACCCCCTACGCGGCTGCTGCAGCTGCGCAGAGCTACCCTGGCTACCTGCCCTACGGCCCGGAGCCGCCCGCGCTCTATGGGGCGCTGGTGAGTCCCGGGGATGGGGTCTGGGGTTGGGCAGCGGCAGGTGAAATCCAGTGTGACCTCCCCAGGCAAAATCGAGGCAGGAAAGAAAGGGTTAGCACTGTGCATAACGACATCAACAGCCCTTTGAAGTCTGGCAGTGTAGAAAATGCTTGAACTTCTCTTATCGGTGAGGTAAGCAAGCCAGCACTCTTTGCTAGAGGAAATTGAGGTACCCAGAAGTCCAGAGTCTCGAGGTATGCAGGGTCAGGGGAGAGCTCTGTAAGAGCCGGAAGTGCCCCAGCTGGGGTGGGAGTCCCTGGGGTCACGTGGTCCCCACAGCTGGTATTTAACTCCTGGGTAGTCTGCACCAGGGATCTCGCCAGGCTCCCTGCCAGTGAGATCTTCAGTCACCCTTAGCTACTATTATTACCCTCCTTTTACCAAGGGAGAAACTGAGGCAGAGAGTGTCGCAACAGCTGTGCCCCAAGTTGCACAGCCCATGCCAGTGGTGGCACCACAATGTGAAGTGACCTTGACCCCTACCCCACAGTTCACAACTCCCCCTGCCTCCTTCCCCAATATGGTGCTGAACTGGCTTTTCCTTTCCCACCAGAATGCACAGTATGAATTTAAGGAGGCTGCAGGGAGTTTCACACCAGGCCTGGCACAAACAGGAGCCTATTATCCCTACGAGCAGACACTAGGGCAGTACCAGTACGACCGGTAAGAAGTGGGGGCACCTTGGGGGCTGGCACCACCAGTCACCTGCCCAAGGTGGGTGGCTTCTGGGACAGAAGGGGGCGGGGAGCGGAGCTGAGCTTCTGGGTGGCAGACTGTCCCCCGGCCTGGAGCTGCTGCCTCTCAGCCTGGAACCTGAGCTCATTCTCCCCACAGCTATGGCACCGTGGAACTGAGCAGCGCCGGGCGCAGGAAGAACGCCACGCGGGAGACCACCAGCACGCTCAAGGCCTGGCTCAACGAGCACCGCAAGAACCCCTACCCCACCAAGGGCGAGAAGATCATGCTGGCCATCATCACCAAGATGACCCTCACCCAGGTGTCCACCTGGTTCGCCAATGCGCGCCGGCGCCTCAAGAAGGAGAACAAGATGACATGGGCACCCAAGAACAAAGGAGGGGAGGACAGGAAGGCGGAGGGTGGAGCAGATGACTCTCTGGGCTGCCTCAAAGGGGACAGCAAAGGTACTGCCCACTGTCACCTCCCCACCTTAGGAGTTTTAGAAGCCGGTGAGCAGTGCACTCTGCAGAAGGCGCCCTGTGGGGATAGATTGCCCCCCAAAGCGCTCCTTGGCTTACCCATGCACTTGAATCCCCTGCCTGCCTCAGGCCCTTTGCCTATGCGCTTGCTGCCACCTGGAATTCCCTACAGAACCCCATCCTCATCCCAGCAGTGATTATCACATCAGTTTTTAAAATTTCTTTTGCCGTATTTATTGCTATGAGAAGGTTTCCATCTATCTAAGCACACTAGAATATCCGTTCCACTACACTATGTCCTACCTTCAGGTATTCCCTGAACACTCAGCTCTTAAATGATGCTGGCCCACAGCTGGCACTTGGGAAATAGTTTCCGAATGAAAGAAGGTAACAGCAGCCACCTGTGGGTGTTGAACTCGGGCAAAACTTCCCTCCTGTTTTCTCTATGGGGGAACTGAGATCCAGAAATGCACCAGCCAGAGAGCCATTTCCTGGGAGAAGAGTCCCCCGCGGGTGGGGGTGGAGCTGGGGGCAAGTGGGGTGGGGGGTGGAGCAGGTCTGGCGGATCACACCGAGGCCTCTCTGAGTGCTCACTCGCCCCGCTAAACGCTCGCGATGGGCACCCCCCCCCCCTCCCGCGCATCTCCCTTGGGCCCTGGGGCTTTTCTCACTGGCTCTTAATTGCCTGCAGACGTTACTGCTAGCCAGGAGGCCCAGGAACTCCGGCTGAGTGACCTGGAAGACCTGGAGGAAGAAGAGGAGGAGGAAGCGGAAGAAGAGGAGGCAGTGGCTGCAGCTGCCGACAGGCTGCCGGGGTTCCGTACGGACTCACAGTTGCTGCCTGCACCGTACGCCGCGCCTCCGGACGAGCGGTTGGAGCGCAGGCAGTGCGGTTTGGTGGCGCCCCGCTTCTCCTTCAGCGAGCCCCCTGGGCCTGGAGAAGTTCACTTCCTCACAGCGGAGCCGGGGGGCCCCACGCTGACCACGCACTACCCCCGCGGCGAGAAACCGCGTATCTGGTCTCTGGCTTACACTGCGGCCGCCGGCGCTGTGGAAGGCTCACCTCCAATCGGACCCAGGCCGCGAAGCCCTGAGTGCCACCTGATCCCGGGACAGCCTCCTCGCTCCTCCAGGCCACCCGCGGTTCCCAGAGACGCCATAGGCGAGGAGTCATCCCGCGTAGCCAAAGCTTTTGGAAACCCGAGGTTTGCCCTGCAGGGGTTGCCGCTGAACTGTGCGCCCTGCCCGCGGCGGAGGGAGCCTGCAGTGCAGTGCCCGTACCCATCGGGCGCAGAAGGTAGTGGGCCCCCAACGGCGCTGAGAGTGCCTGTGCCAAAGAGTGCCCTGCCTTTCGCCACCTCTCCTCTCTGCTGCGTGCCCGGGTTCAGCAGCGGCCGGCAGCACTCCTTGAGACACGGAAGTGTAGGGCGATTTCAAAGCTGAGTCACAGAGGGGGACAGGAATTTTCCCTGGGATCACTGAGTCACTGAAAAGGTGCACAGCCCATAGCTCTGCACCGGTGGCCTGCAGTCCGGCCCGTGCACCTGCTGTGCAGCACCACACCCCCCATAGCACGGGTGCTCCCTCCCCTGCCTCGGCGGGGGAGGGGGAGGGGAAGGAGGCCAGCTGGCCCCTTGCTGTTCTGAGAGTCACACCTGGAGGCTGAGGCCGTGGGAAGCCTTTCAGAGAAGTCCAGGGGAGAGTACCAATCACACGGTACTGATTTAAGTCCAGCCTGCGGCCCAGGATTGGTTCTGTCCCCCACAGAACCCTCCTTTCAGCGAGCCTCATCTTCCTGCAAGGTCAGACTGCCCATCGGTGCCCCCTGCCCCAGCTGACCTCCAGGTGCGAGAGGGAATCACCCCCCCCCACACACACACACAAAGGAACACTCTCCAGGCAGGAGGTACCCTCTAGCAATTGCTGTCACATTCTGCTGTTGGTAGTAATTTCTCTCAACATTAGCTGCTGGCTTAGAAATCAGGTTAGGCTGATACGCTGAGTCCAAACGTGACCTTTGGCAAGCACATTGCCACCAGACCCAGGCTCGCTCCTGGAGGAGCAGGCACCTACCCCGCCTGGAAGCGGCCTTCGGGTTGTAATCAACCTTTCCTCTCTCAGCAGGTTAGCGCACCAGCTGCGATTTGCGGAAGCATCTTGGAAATGAGCCCCACTTTTCAAATTCACCTCCACGCTAAGAAGCTGCCAGGCCTTGCCGGGGACTAGGAGCTCTCACTTGGCCTAAGAGACCTTCGGAGACCCTCCGAGACGCCGTCCCTGCCCACAGAGCCGGGGGACCTTGTTAGATCCCGCGCGCGGGCGAAGCGTCTGGGTGCCTCCGGGAAGGCCACGGCGGACGCCGGGCGAGGGCGCCCGGAGCGCCGACATCCTCAAGTCAACCTCCTCCTCGGGATTCCGAGCCTGCAGCCTGCTGCTCACCCCTGGCCCTCACCCCCACCCCTCACTTTGTAAGGACCACCGCGTCTTCTCCCCCTGCACCCCTTGTGTCCTTAAAAGTGATCAATCCGAACCCTGCCGTGCAGCCTCGTTGTGCCAGGGGCGCGCAGAGTAGTGGCGGTGGGGGAGGGGATAGAATGTTGCCAGGGGCTTAGGGACGGGGCGGCATAGGCGGCAGACCCCATTCTTTTTAATAGGAGAGAAACCGACAGGTAACGCACCAGGCCGTGGCGCTCACTGCTTCGCGCACGCAACGCGCGGGCTGGGCTGATGAACCCGCCGGCTGGTGTACGTGGGAAGTGTCGGAAGATGGCAGGGGATTTGGGAGGCGCATTTCTTCCCCGGGTTCGGACGTGGATTGTAAATGTATTGGAAAGAGAGGCAATGGTGATATCTTGGCGACCCCTTGTCCCGGCGCTGGGGACCCCGCAGCGCGCGGGGCCGTTTTTTCCATTTAATCCAAAATGTCAGCAAACACTTCTGGAACGGCCCAACCGATGGGAACTGGCAGGGAAGGAAAAGGTGCTTTGACCTTGCGGGCAGAGCGAGAGGTTGACGGTGAAAGAGTTAAAAACGCCCGAGTTCGCGTCCCGGGCCGAGTGTGGCCTCAGCTTCAGCCAGTGAGGGAGCCAGCGCACCGTGCCTGAAGGGCAAAGGGCGCCCGGCAGTGCCCCGAGCGGGCTCGGAGTCGCTGGGGGGTGTCGGCCAGGCGCGCTGGGACCCGGTCCCCGCGGGCTGGGTGCTACCGGAGCGTTGGAGATGACGCTGGTCCCTGCGTGTCCCGGTCCCCGCGCCCCCGGCCGGGGGAAGACCTTGAGTCCCTGAAATCTGGGGCGAGAGGGTCCGCTTCCTCGATCGATTTCAAGATCCCTGCGGGCTGCGTAGGGGAAAGGTGGGCGGCGGGATGTTGGAGAAGCTGGTGGAAACAGAGGCAGCCCCGTTCGCCCCGCCCTTCCCGGCGCGTTCTTTTGAGATCAGAGAGCGTTCTGGAGATGTGATCTACAAAAGCAGAAACCCACTCTTCAGATGAGGAAACTGAGGTCCCATGCGACGGCAGGGGACCGGCTCGGGCTCACGCGGGTCGGAGGAGCCGGCGCGCTCTGGGACCAACGCCCCCTCCTAGCGCTCGCCCGCCCCGCCTCCTGTGGGGGCCCCCTCCCTTCTCCCGTCGCTCCTGGGCGACAGCTGCTCCACCCCCAGCCTCCCCGGGGACGCTCCAGTCGCCCTTGCTGACCCGCGGCTTAGGGTCCGGAAAATTAAACTGCGAAAAGATAAACATTATTTCCAGTCGGCTTTGCGGGATTAACGCTTGTAATAAAGAGCCTTAGATGCAGGTTTCTCGAAAGGCGCCCTCGACCCCACTGCCTCCTGAGGGGCCAGGTAGAGCCCTCGGGAGACTGCAGAAGCTTCCATTCTGGGGTTCCCAGTTGAGAGTGGGGCTCCACTGGCCATTTGGTGGAGAGGAGAGGGGCTCAGGGTTAGCACCTGGAGATGGGAATCGAAGGCCAGACTGGAGGGGACCCATGAACCCCAAGGTCGTGTGGCCCATGGGAGACTGGTTCCAGAGGTTGGTGGCCAAGGAGTTGTGCCTGCATGCTGCCTGCAACCATTCCACCTTATGTAGCAGCAGTGGGCCCTGGCAAAGGAGCCAGGCCTTGGTTGCCTGCCTTGCCACCCAGCACCCAGGAAGGAGTCTCATCTTGTTTGGGAGACTGCGGTGGAAGCCTGTCATCTCTGGTTGTCCCAGAGATTGGGGCCTCATTGGCTGGACACGATAAGGGGCATGAAAACTGTGTTCTAGGGTCCCAGAAAAGCTGCTTTGCCTTCCCTACTGCATCACTACCTTGGGAGGTGGCTTGGACAAGCTCCTTCCCCTCTCAGATCTCCAGGTATGAAATTCCAGAATGATCTGGTTCCCCATCCAGGTACTCAGTGTCTCCTCCCGAGCTGGCGGTGAGCTCCAGAGGTCCAGGCAAAGGGCCTGAGAATGGCATGTCTGAGCCTGCGATTATCCCAGCCCCCCAGGCCCCAGTGGCAATCTGTTCCCACATTTCTCCCCCCTCTGAGAGCCTCCTGCAAAGCTCCCAATATAATCTCCTAGAATCATATTTTGAATACAGTTTTGATTAAACACGGGAGCAGCGGGCGGGCGGGTGCAGCCCCGCTCTCTGCTGCACCTGCTGGCGCTCGCAGACAGCTGGCCCGTGAGCTCCGCACGCTGAGTGCCGGTAACTGCAGAAAGACCCGGAGGCGCTGGGCTGTGGCCAGTCTGTAGGATCTGGACCCTCTAACTTCTCTGATGGCAGAAGCGTCGCTTCCTCCGGGACTCAGCCCCCTGGAGGTGAGGGAGAGCTGAACCAGGAAGCTGCACCACACCCAGTGTCTTTTTCCTTTACCTATTCCTCTCCTGCCAGGCGTCCCTGGCTGTGCGTTGGCCTCCCCAGGTGATCTCTCTGATGTTAAGGAGGACTTCTGCAATGCTTGCTGTCTGCCAGACTCAACCTGGGTTGGTCAGTTTGGGCTGCTACAGCAGGATACCATAGGCCACTGCGTGGCTTATAAACAATAGCGATTTATTTCTGGCAGACTCGGTGTTGCTGAAGGCTTGTTTCCACGTTCGTGGATGGTCTGCTTCTCGCTGTGTCTTCACTTGGCGGGAGGAGGGAGCCAGCTCTCTGGGGTTTTAGTATTGCAAGGGCACTAATCCCATCTGTGAGGGCTCCACCCTCCTCACCTCCCAAAGGCCCTACTCCACATCCCAGTAATTTTCAGCATATGAACTTGGGGTGGGAGACACAGATGTTCCATCCGCCCCACATGTCCTTTAAACTCACTAACCCCCCGTATTTGTATTTTACGATAGGCCAGGGAAGCGCTGGGATACCTGCTGGTGTTCCATTTGCTGAATGAGGAAAACAGGCTCCGAGAACTTAAGGAACTCGGTGTCAGTTATCGGGCTGCCAGGAGTCAATTTCTGAGTAAGACTGATTCTTTAGCCACCAAACTCTACTGCTAATACATTCTGTTATTTCAAGCTATTTTATTCAATTATTATCAAGAGTGCATGTCTGAGACTCCAAATATCTATGAGTCTATTATTTCATGCTTTGGAATCTTTGGTTGCCCTCCTTCCTTCTCAGGAACATCCAATGGGAAAGGACTTCTGGTGCCCCCAACCCCCATATCCTGGTCAATGTGGCTATACCATCACCATCAGCCAGTAACCAAAGACTCTAGGAGGAGGGCTGGGACAGCAGCCCTCTTGACAGACACCCCAGGCTGTCTGATGGACCTCACTGGAGTCTCAAGTGGCCAGACTCTAAGCTCAACAGGAGGGCTTAGGATGCCTGCTGTTGGTCCAGAATAAATTATATGCCAGTAACAGGTGCGAACATTTCCTCCAGGATTTAATCTGGGTTCACATTCAATCTCCTCTCTTGGTTCAGCTCTCTTTTTCTTCCCATTCTGAAGTTCAAAGGCTTGTTCTTGGAGGGGGCAGACACCCAGGTGGCTAACTCACCTTTCCCAGCTGCCCGGGGTTCCAGGGTTGGAAGCATCTTAGGAGGCCTCTGTACCATGGTGCACAAGAGGTTTCTACTTCCACACAGGAGTGTGCAGGCTGCAGCCTGTACCCATTCAGGGAAAGCCAGCAGTGGCAAGGAAAGACGAACTCTGAAGCAATGAAAGAACCGCTGAGGATGAGTGGCCACCCTGGCTGTCTCCTGCCCCGGGCAGTTGCCACCTTGGTTTTAAGAAGTTCCTTTGTGAAACAAATGCCTTCTCCATTTAGCTTTTGAAATTTGTCTCCAAAACTGAGGATTCTTACTCTTCAGGATTCCCGTGCCTCCTGCACCTCAGGAGGAGGAGGAGACTTGCTTTGCCTTTTCGCTGAGATCAGAGGAAGAACTGGGTCCAATGGGCACTCCCCAGTGCTAATGCCAAGCACCTACTCTCTCCACATACTTTTCCTCGTTGAAATACAGTGCGAAAGGGTTGGGGGGAGGAAGAGTGAGTCTTCAGCAAGTCACCGAATGTCTCTGAGACTCAGCTTTTTCCTGGGAGGCTGGGACGTGGCACTTTCATGAATTCTGCAGTTTGCTCACCTGGCTGCTATGGGGACAAAGATTTACTTGACTTTTGCTGAGTGGCAAGAGTGAGGGGTTGATAAAGACAAGTGGGCACCAGAGACTTCTCCCTTGTGTAATCAGTGGGTTACAAGAGATTTGAAAAGGGACTAGAACTCGGATAGTTCAGCCTGGGAAGTATGTAATACCATCATCACAGTGGTAGACACCAAATCCCACATCAACAGCAGTACACATTGTACTATTTGGTGAATTTTTCTGTCTTATTGTTGAGCAAGCCTATTATTTATGGGATTATCAGAGGCCGATGTCTTCCCTCACTGGAATTCCTGCATTTGGACTGTCTCACATTCTAGCTGAAATTTATTCAAGGACTTGGGGAACATCCTCCAGAACCATGATGCTGACAATGATGATGACGAGTCTAGATTCATGGCTCTCTACCCGGGTAACACACACAATCAGCAGGGAGTGGCATGGGTTTTGTTTTGTTTTGATTGAATTTTCAGTACCAATACCCAGGTTGTGCCCCAGACCCATTAAATCCAATCTTTAAGGGTTGGAGTCAGAGGTATTTTTTAAGCCCCCAAGTGATCCCAGTGTGCAAACAATGTTGTGAACTGGTGAACCACAACCAGGCTGTTTCTCTGCCCAGGCCCAGCATTTTTCTAGAAGATGTGCATGAGTGGAGAGGGAGGGGCATTGGCAGACCAGAAGTCTGGAAGCCTGTGGCTTCTCCCTTTATTCTGTGCCTGTAATTGTTTCCTGCATGGTAAAATGAGGTCTTGTGTTTGCATTTTACTACATGACTTATGACGAAGCTCCAAGATGGATGAATTCTTGGACAACCAGGGTTGCCAAGTGGCCAGGAGAGATCTCTTTCAGCCCTGCACATTTCATATCCCGGTCGTCTGGATACTAAGTGGTGAGCGGGGTGGCAATGGCTCCAGCAAGAGATCCTAGGATCCTAAGCACCTGTGTCCATCAA